ACCTCCTGTGGCCCAACCCCACTGGCCAACAGCTGCAACGAGCCCTGTGTCAGGCAGTGCCAGGACTCAACAGTGGTGATCCAGCCCTCTCCTGTGGTGGTGCCCCTGCCTGGACCCATCCTCAGCTCCTTCCCCCAGAACACCACTGTGGGATCCTCAGCATCTGCAGCTGTTGGAAGTGCTCTCAGTGCTGAGGGGGTCCCCATCTCCTCTGGCAGCTCCTCAGGACTGGGGAGCTTTGGCTATCCAGGCCTGGGCAATGGGTACAGCTGGCCCTACCGTCGCTACAACACCTACCGCAGTGGCTTCTACGGGCCGTGCTAAAGTGTGAGGAGCAAGCAGGAAGAAATGACCAGATGCAGGACTGAACTCACAGCCATGGTTTTCAGATGTGATGTCAGATACCCACACCTCCACCTGAAGTTAATGGGAGTTAGTAATTCCCTAAAATGAGGCCCCTTGCTCTTGTTATACTACTTTATAATTCTAATCAACATGTAGTTCTGCTCTGCATCACTGTATTTGATAGTACCTGGTGTAAAATCTATAATTTAGGCAGTAGATGGGACTTGATTTTTAAGGTGCAATGGTAGACTGAAAGAAGAGCTTTGTCTGTGGAATACATCACCATGAGATGTGCCATTCTTCCCATATTGAAACCTGTTGCTTTGCAGTATTTTAATCCACTTTAGTATTATTAAAGTTATGCTTTTATCATATCTCGAGTCTTCTGTTATTTTTTTCTTCCCCTTCTACCTGCTTTTAAAAATTTTTCTGTGTGAAATTCATCGCTGTGTAGATCATCACTACCAGTCAGGGACATGGTATGAATACTACTGGGGCCACTAATAATAGGAGAAGAACATATGTTTAGAGCTCAAGATCAAGAAAATATTTAATTTTTCAGTTGAAATGCATGTTGATTCCACACTGACTCATCATAATACTTAGCTTTATGCATCTCTGCCAAGAAATTATTCTCAAGGCTGGAAACGTTTTATGATCTAACAGAATGGCAGGATATCTAATCTAGCATATAATGATACTTGATTTAAGGAATCCTGTTGTGATTCACACTCTCAGTAACTCTGGCCTGGAGCTTCAGAGTGCAAAGAAAGATTTACATTCTTTTGCCATCAAATCATTGCTTGGATGCTTGGATTTGTGGCGTAAAACATGAATGGCAGCGGAAGTCCAACAGAAGGAGGTATACACATAGCTTTTTCTGACAGGGAGCAAACCTGTTTATCTATTTGCTGGATAAGTACTGTGTATTTTAGGGCTCCTTATAAAAGTATGGCTGTCTTTACTCTCCTGGCTGCAGCCCTACAGAATTCCCACAAAAAGCTCATGTCAAGGAATGAAGCGTGGCAATATAAAATAAACACAGGGCATGTGTAGACATCAAAACCTTTAGAAATCCTTACAGATATCTTGCTTTTGCTAAAAGTAAGGACCTGAGGTTGAAACTAGGTTTGCAACAGCCGCTGAAGCTACTAAAGCAATAGATTCTGGGGAAAAATTGAAGAGATTCTCTTGTTGGGAAGGTTTGAGGTACACAGATAATTCCAGTTATATAAATTCTGTTGCAGCTGGTTAAATTGTCCCCAATACTTAAATTGCTCATGGTTTATGTACCAGTCTAGTCTTATCCTGGCATCAGATGAAAAGCCTTCCTCAAAGCTTCTTTCATCTCAAAGACCCGTGGATCATTTGAATGCCTTGTACTATTACACTCAAGCCTCTGAAGTCAACATAAAGATGATACAAATTTCAGCTCATGTAAGTAATTTGTCAGCTCTTTGGCAATTTGGTAGTTCACCAGCCAGTCATGGGAGCGCTCTGTTGTTACACAAAGGGTTTTAATTGAGTGCATGGAATGTGAAGCTCCATTACTGGTCCATAAGTGAGAGCTATTATGTCCTGGTTCACCAGCCTTAACAATCCCAAAAAGCAAGATCCAAAGGCTCTCAACCTTCTGGGTGAACTCTAGGTGCTAATTAGATTAAACAGGCAGAATATCAATGAAAACATTTCCAGGCTGTTAATGAGTCTGTTTCTAAAATACTATGTACCCTCCAAGAAAAAATTGTTTATGTCCCTAGAGGGAAAACTGAGGAAAAGTTGGCATTCCTTGGCTATCTCCTCTTACAGAGGAAAGGGAAATGAATTCTCCAGGTGAGGGATAGCTTTCACCTCCTGTAAGGAAACAATTTTTTTAAAGATATAAAAAGATGACAGCTAGTATGTTGGATAGTAGAGATTTTGAGGAAAGGGAAGAAAAAGACTCTCCCTTTTTATAGAAAAGGAGAGGAAAATTTTCTTCTGCAGAACCGTTGAAATACGTAGAGTTATAGGATTTTACAGAAGATGAAGATTTGGCTTTATTTTTTTAAATCAATTATGAGAACTTTTAACAAAACTATTAATGTTTCTGAAGGTGTTTACCTTGAATTAGTTTGTGAAGTCCTTTGAGTGATTTTGACTCACACGCTTTGAAATTAGGTTATTAGCCAGCTGATGCGAGTGCTGAGATCTTGTCACATACCTTGAACATTAGGTAGTATGAAATTTTGCATATTTGAGCCATTAGTGAAAAGCTGTTCCAAACTTTGAAGTCCTTTATTCTTCTGAAGACCAAGGCCAAACTATGCATAAAGACACTCCACATTTAGAGTTAATTCATATCTGTTGCTGAGGGATGGTGGTGCTAAGAGGAGAGAGCTGATCCCTGATTTTTGCATGGTTTCCATCTGTGCATGTATTTCGAGCAGGCTGGAGTACAGCTAGGGCAGGCCACTGCAGGCTGCAGAGGTGAAACAAATCATGTAATGATAAATGTAATGGAGAACTGCTGGGTGTAACTTCTGTTGATGCCATAGTTTGGCTCGGGCAAAGCACTGTCTTTAAAAACCGACACTCAAAAGCAATCTTTAACTTGCATATTCATACTTAATCCGATGTGAAAATTACTGCACGTCCCAGTGACTTACTGGGATTTCAGGTAAGAATAATGGTGATTTCTCATATGAGAGACTGCACAGAAATCCTATCGAGAATTAGATGCAGTTAATAAATGCCACAGAGCAATAAGATCAAGTAATCAAGCTCTTTCATTAAAATTGTGATTGTTTGAATTCGACATGGAAAATGAAGTTAAAATTTATGATTAGGTAAAGAAATGCAGTCTATGCATTTGCGTCAGCTGTATTCATACAAACTGGGAAAACCATGGGTTTGCCCAAGCAGTTTTGGAACGTGTTTTGTTGTCTGTGGTCAGCAGTTCTCACTGCTCTTATTTTTCTTTAACCTTTGCAATACTTATGGAAATTTGGTGCTCTTCTCAGCTGAATGCTTGTGTGGGATTGAAATAGTGCAGAAGTGCAAAATTTGGGAATATCCATTATACATCTTGTCTTGTGGTAAAGCTGAGTCCTTGAAATGGAAATTCTTGTGAATTGAGCCCAGGCCCCCACCTCAGAGCTAAATGATTGTTCACCTAAAGGAGTGAAGTCTTGAATAAGGACTGTGCATCACATACACTCCCCTTAAGCAGTGTCTTGATGACTAAAATGAAACATAAAATGTACATTGGCCTTAGGAGGCAGCATAATTACTGCTGTAATTCAAGCGAGTCACCGCAGTCTTCGAAGCAATTAAGTGGGTGCACATTGGTGAAGATGAAAGCTTTGTCTGTACTGGAATGTGGATGTAATAAGGGGAGGGGAAAAAAATCAAAACTAAAAGAGATTATGAAAGGAAAAAAAAAGTGTTGATCAGTTTGGTGGACTTTGCATGCAAAAGTATGTATCATTAAATAATTTAATGCATAATATATGTCTGTGGTCTGCAGGCAGTCTGGAACACTGTATAAAAGCGTGTACAACTCGAGACTTTTCTATCCACTTCTTTTGCCTTATTTGCCCAGGTGAACAGGTAAGTCTGAGTCTACCCAGTGTCTTTTTAAATGCTAAACTGTAACTTTGATGACTGCTTTTTTTTGTTGTTGTTCTTTTTTGGTGGTGGGTTTTTTTTGTTGTTATTCTTAGTTCTTCATAAATATTTCTAGCTTTCTTTTCTTTTGGGAAGGAAAATTAGAAAGGCTTACTTCTGTCAAAAAGGAAGGCTTTATTTGCTTGTGAAGGCGGGTGTAATGAGACAAGACTTAGAGGACTGGCAATACTGTCTCTCAAAACAAGCAACTTCATGCTCATATTAGAGATGGACGCTAAGGGATTAGCTAGCCAATGAACCAGGTCAGAAACACAGTCTCATTTTAAGAAAGTGGGACTAGAATAAAAAGAAAAAAAAAAAGGAAAAAAATTGTGCTGAGTTCCAGGATCTATCCTCCTGTTTTCCACAGGCAGAAGAGTGGAGATCCCAGCAGATTCAAATATATTGAATTCAAACCAAGGCAGAAACCTCTGATAGGGAAAAGAATCCTTTGCACTCCAAGTTTGCCTGTTGCGGTTGTATGACATTTGGGAGCAAAGGATGCTTCTTGAACGCTTTCCCGTTGTCATGCGAACGCTGCTGGCTGGGCTGTTAGCGCCTAAGTTCTAGCATTAGGGCACTAAACGCGGTTATGTGCCAGTGTTCAGCTCAGAACCACTTTCCATGCCTGACTCCAGCTGCTGTTCTTCAGCTGCTGGTACATTCACAACTGCACCTTCTCCATAGTGCAAAGGGAAAGTGACAATCAATGGGAAATGCCTTTGCTGGTAAGGGTTAGGGCAAACTTTACCGTGACTGGCACCACAGTTCAGAGGCCAGCTGCCGGGCACAGACATCCTCCAGCAGCCTTATAAAGATAAGAGAAACTTCAACGCTATTTTCTGACTGTCTACTGTGGATTATGATCTAATAAGTGATTACCTCTTTGACCACCTTCTCTATTTCACATATTTTATCCTCTTACCTGACTTTTATAAACTTAATACAGCTTTTGTATTGCATTTACTTTCTTCCCTGTATTTTAGACTTCCTTCTGTCCAACAGACATGTCTTCCTATGACCTGTGTCCTCCTACCACTTGCGGCCCAACCCCACTGGCCAACAGCTGCAACGAGCCCTGTGTCAGGCAGTGCCAGGACTCCACGTATGTGATTCAGCCCCCTCCCGTGGTGGTGACCCTGCCTGGACCCATCCTCAGCTCCTTCCCCCAGAACACCGCTGTGGGATCCACCACCTCCGCTGCTGTCGGCAGCACCCTCAGCTCCGAGGGAGTGCCCATCTCCTCTGGCAGCTCCTCAGGACTGGGGAGCTGGAGCTTTGGCTCCCCGGGCCGGGGCAGGGGCTACAGCCGGCCCTACCGTCGCTACAACACCTACCGCAGTGGCTTTAGTGAGCCGTGCTAAAGCATGAGGAGCAAGCAGGAAGAAATGACCAGGAATGCTGGAGCATGACCTGATACAGGACTGAGCTCACAGCCATGGTTTCTGAAGTGATGTTACATACCCACAACTTAATCTGATATTAATGGAGCTGTGGGAGCTCGGCATCTCCTAAAACCAGGTCTTTGCTTGTCTTATTCTTTGAATACTTCATACTTCTGATGAAAATTTTTTTTTCCTGTTGCTGTAGATGGGACTTTATTGTCTCAGCAGCACAGAGAAAAAAAAAAAAACAGGATGAAAAGACATATTAGCTGTTGTCTTATTGAATCCTAGAAGTATATGCTTTGTACTTTTTTATTCCGCGTTTTGCTCTCATTAAAGTTTTGCTGCATCACAATCCAAGTCTCCTGGTGTTTGTTTGAAAAGCATTTAGCAGCCCACTTTTTATGAAATTTCTTGCTATTCCTCTGTTTTGTTAATCGAAACCTACTTTTTCATGTTGATCAGAAATAAGGATTCGGCTGATGACCTCTATGCCAAGAAATCATTTTACAGCCAGGAAACTTTGGGAACATTGTGGGAATAAATTAGATACACTGTAGCAAAGCAGATACTATGTACAGAGTAGATATGTTGTCTAGGACCACTGTAGATTTGCTGCACTTCCTTCCCCAGCTCTGGCTTTCACCACAGGTAAGACCATGGACTTCAAGTGCTTGTTATCAGATCTCACTTGTTCATCAGAAAGTGTTTCTGATGGCCATGGTCTGAGCAAAAAGGGACCCCAAAGAGAAGAGACCATGGGGAGTTTGGGGGGGATGCTCTAAGAGGAGACCAGATCCCCCTGACAATTATATTGAGTATCTTTTGTAATTAAGGCCAACCTATATAAGGCTACTTAAATGTAGATTTGTAACTCACGTTGTAAACCCAGCTCCTGGTGCCTCTGTGTGGAGTTTCATGGGCTAGTGCTGAAATAGTTGGTTTTGGCAGAGGTACTTGTGTCCACTCACTGGTTTTGGGCATCTGTGCAGGCAAATGACAGGCCGAATTTTCACCCCATGCGAATGTAAATTCAAAGTTTATTTTGAGCATGAAAACATTTCTCTTCTTACTGGGATGGAAAGGCTTTAAATTAATGTGTGTTAGTCCTGGGTCTCCAGCTCCAAACGAGTAAGCTGTGATCTTTTATTCCTAAATGACTAAGGGAAGTAAAGGTGAAATTAGGGACCTGGCATGTAATTGCAGCAAAATACAGGTGAGTTGTATCTCATGTAACCCTTGGCAGCAAGAAACGATGCCTTGTGAAAAGGGTTTATACCAATGATTATAGGCAATTCCTTGCTCTGAGGTGATGGATACAAGTACACATTCACCAGTCTTGCTGGCACCAAGACATCATTCTGCAAGGAAGCTGGATCTGGCACGTAGAGCCGTGGGCAGAGAAATACTAATTGCAGTCTTACAACTTGAAATAGAATTAAAATCTATATATGAAAAGTTATTCAAACATATTTGAAAAATAACTAAAACCCACCCATTTGAGTGTGGTGTTTTGCAGAAGTTCTGGTGAGTAAATAATGTCTTCCCTCCAGCATAAATTTTTGTTGTTTTCTTCTGCTGTTCCCCATTGAATTCCAGCCACACTACTCCTGGCTCTTTGCAGAAATACTCCACAGATCTGTATGCAGTAGTTAGTCACATCTATTTTTTCACAAAAAAGGAAATTGCACCATAAATTGTTTAAGCTTATTAGACCACAGTAAGATACAAAACCAAACCTCAAACTTTAGTCGTTTTAAAGTTCTTCATAATACTATTTGAATAACATTAACAATGAAAATAACTATGTTGAGGTATGAACTTTGAGGACTATATATCTACCTATATTTGAACACCTTTGGCTTCAGGGGAGCTACCTGAGTGTCAGAAGCTGAAGCTCAAGTCCCAGGCTCTGCCTACACCAAAAGGCAACTCAGATTACACACACAGCATGTACTGTTCAGCCGCCCGGGCCAAAGAACAATTTACAGCAAATAATGAGTGGTGGGTTGCAATAGAAACAGCAACGCCACGCAGAGGCATCCAACCTGACTGAACTAAACCACCTTAAGCCATAGACACATCTTCTGTTTTAAGCAATAGGCCAGAAATGGCTAACACCGTAGGGCATTAGCAGAGTCCACTCTCAGTGGCCTGGAACCAGGTGCCCTAGATTGTTGTGTGAGCTGCTGTTGCTAATGCTCTCAATAAGCATCTGTGTCAGTACAATTAGCTGAGAATGAGGTCTGAAGTAAAAGCAAGAACTATCAGAGTGTTGTGAATGGTGGGAGAAAGGAACGGCATAGAAGGGCTCTGAGTTGCAAGAAATTTTACAGATTTGTTCAACTGCTCGAACGCCTCTGAGGCATCCATTTCTTTATAATGAGCTAATTAATTACGATTCAAAATCTATTGCAGAGAGCACTCTTCTTGCCAGGGAAACTTCTATTTGTTGCGAGTCTGTTTCTCTGTGCACAGATTTTGGCATCGCTTTTGTGTGTGGAGCCATTATGTGGGGGGTACTGTGAGTAAGCTTCCAGCTCCATTTTGATTAAGAATATTTTTCAGACATTTAGTCACTCACAGATGTCTCAGGAGGATGTTCTCACATTATGTAAGTAGTTTTAATTATAATATGAATACATAGGTCTGTTCTCGATTATACAAAAAAAAGCTGTGAACTTCTGATTCACTCAATTTAATTCATCTCAAAGATCAGGCCGTTCAGTCATTCTGACTGTACAATAAAGTGGCTGGAGTTAAAACAATAATTATTGTAATTATTTTCACGTAAGGCTGTAGACGTCTCTGAAAATGTTGCTAGATCCTTTTTCTAAAGTTATAGTCTGATTGTAAGAGTATTTTGTGTTTTCGAAGGTGAGCTTGGGTGAAGAAAGAATTTAAAAAATTATTAAAATAATCTATGGATACTGTTATGCGAATTAATTTCTCAAATAGATACCAGCTGCTATAGAGGAAATTATTTTTGAGAAAGCCTTCTAATCCTTAGAATATGGAGAAGTACTGAGGAATGGACAGAATTAGTGAAGCTAAAAAAGACTAGGGAAGCTTATTTGAGAATCTCCTTGAAATGTGAGATGGCTTAAACCAAACCTTGAGCTACGTTTTAATTAAACATAAAATAGCTGTAATTCCTGCAGCCAGGAACAATGACACAAATTTTAGAGCCCAATGACTGACCTGCACTCCCAAATCTTCACAATGTATTATTTCAGAAATGATATGAGAATTCAAATATGGGTCACATATCTTAAATTTGCACATAATACGATACATTGCATGCCTAGCACTTTAATAAAAGCTTCTGATAAACTTTGAAGTTCTCGGTAACTTATACCAAGTCAAACAAGTTTCTGTTCCCAGGGGATCTTCACAAAGACACTCCTAATTTAGAGATAATTTACATGTCTCAGTAGTTAAAGTGCTAGGAAAGCAAGAACCTCGGTACTAATCTCTGTGTCTAGGGTTGTTTGTGCATTTAACTCTTTTACTATTTGTCCTGCAAACCCCCCTATAGAAGAGGCTCAGGTCCATTGTGCAATCTGAAGACTGCAGTAAAGTTACAGAAAAATTGACTGCAAGTGAAGAAATTATTGACACTTTATATACTTTTGACACTTCTCCAGCTGGCTACCATTGGCCTATAACACATCTGTACCAGGGACACTCCAGGGACAGCTGAAGAAATGAGTGCTGCAACAGGGAAGGAAGAATTTTCGTATGCGACTTCTGCCTCCACAGCTGAATTTTGCCAAGCCTTATCTTTTGCAGAGTTCTTCCTTGGGAACAGTGCAACATATTTATGCTTCCACTTCAGGTGGAAGTTAACTTAAAAACAGTTGCTGATGTTTTGAGGTCTGAGGTGAGAATGAAAGTGGATTTGTGGATTCTTTCGATAAAGAACGCCTAGGAGAATTGGCACAGAATTAGAGACAGTCAAGAAAGATCCCGTATTAGTAAAATTTGTCCTTCAAACTCTTCCATAGAAGTACTATAATTTGATACTATCTTGTTAGACTGGACTTCTAATACTCTTTTTTGTTTCTTCTTCCATGTCAAAGGAGCAGTATCTTGTTTCTTCTAGTTATATCTCAGCCTTCGTACACAGCCATAACACTTTTCAATTCCTCCCCTACCCTTTTAATAGTATTTGTGCTTCTTCTCTCACTTTGGGGCTGGAGTTCAGTGAAAATTGTGTGTGTATTCCTGGCCATTTTCTGAAAATCGGTCTCTTTTCTCTTTTCCTTAAAAAAGCTTGAATCCCCAAACTACAAGTGCTCACGGGTTGACTTCCAAAAGCTGGAATTCTTAATAATTTACAACAGTATTTACCTTGCAGAGGAGGGTACAAGGGACTGCATTATGTAAATTATGCTTAATCTCCTTTAATGACACCAAGCAGCCCCAAAAGGGTTTTGAAGACAGAATAAATTCTTCTGAATTAATCATTCTAGTGTTCCCAGAAATTAACTTGGCCCAGAATATTTTAAGATGAAAGTAACTTGTGGTCAGATATACATGCCACAAGATAAGGAAGTAAAGCAGTAATAAACGCAAATACTGAGGCAAAACCCCATGTAATCAGTGGTGGCTCATAAATAACTTCATGCACAAAGAATGTCCCAAGTTGTTGAGCAACTTGGGACTCAGTATAAAAACCTGATCAACTCAAGGCTCTTCCATCCATTTCTCTTACTGCCTTTGCCTTGTTGAACAAGGTAAGTGTGAAGCCATTTATTCTCTCTTTATATGTTGAACTGTTTCCTTGATGATTTTGTAGCTTTTCCTCACTAATGTTGTAGTACATTGAACTTTCTCTCTCTGAGGAAGGAAGGGATTTTCATGTGAAAGAGGAAGTTTTCTGTTGGTGGTCAGTTATAAAAATAATCGAATGGGGCAATTAGCCACGAGTTAGCCAGTTAGGTCTAGTTGTTCAGCTTTGGGATACAGACAAATTT